ACTTCTAGAACAAGAAGAAATCAATATTTGTGTAACCGGCATGGCCAAACATATTTGCTGCTATATGCTTCGGCATTGAAAGAATGAGAATTTGGATGTTTTAGAACTTGGAATATACAGATCATGCTGTTGCTCTCTTGCGTAATTTTATCTGGCGTAGCGTAATTGTCTAGTGTTACATGTCAGTTTTGGTAGCGCTGTGCCTTTTTTAAACATGCCTTTAGACAAGTTTTAAAGCTAAAGGAGAACTAATGGCTCTAAAACTTTAGAAACGTAATAGTACAAGTTAACTGGGGCAGTCTGCAGGTAGCAGACCCTCGACCTACCACGGGTCAACTGATAATGCCTTCCCATTCTGCCCTAAAAAATATAGAAGCATATAGCAAACTTTAGAAGAATTTACAAAGAAAGGTTGAGGAAAGGAGCAACTGAAGCATTTCAAAGAATCTAGTGTTTACCTATTATTGTACATCGTACAATCCAAAAGTACACCCCGCATCCAGTATTTATAACAAATAATAATTTAATACTTAAAGATATTATAGTATAGTTTCAGTACAATTTGAAATTCAAAAATTAAATTTAGAGCACCTGTTTTGATGTAAAAAAATAACAGATAAACATAATAAGATAAATATAATAAGTATTGGTAACCCACTGTTATAAGGAACTGGAAGAGTAATATTAAAGACGTTTTCTTCAAATTGTGCAGTACACCTTTTCTTTTCTTGAAACAATTATGCTATGCAGAAAATTTTCGCATTTCCTTGTATATATTTTTAATCAATCTCTATTTTCTCCAATTTACAGCTGCCTAGTTTTGTTAAGTATTTCCATTGTGGTCATGAAACAGGCAGCTCTTCAATGAAAAAACTAATTCGGAATTTTTCTTTGTTATTCTCTTTTGATATGTTTCTTAAATTTCTTGTCATTTAGAATTTCATTTTTATAAACTGCAATTTTTATTTGCTCATTCTTTACACGATATCCTCTGTTTATTTGCTTATGGCATTTGAATAATTAGTTAATTTAGTTTTTATCTATTTCTGTATTTTACTTTGATTTACTATAATCTCTTTATACGCGAATTGGTTTTCCCCCTTTAGTTTTAAAGCGCAATCGCGATAAAAAATAAGCAACAAACACTAAAAGAAAAGTTACCAGTATTAAGAGGGAAATTAAAACATACAGTTCAGAAGCAGCGATAGTTCCCTATAGTTGGAAAATATGAGCCGAAGACACCATTTGCACGATGAAATAGCTTATAGGACTGTTGGGATGCTGCAAACTGGTTCAAGACAATCTACTCTTGCGAGAGAGATGAATGTGCATTGTACTTTCATCAATAGCTGTGAAATCGTTAGAAAAGGGGTCAAAAGCCCTGTAAAAGACGTGGGTTTGGACGCCGGAGTATTGCCACAACAGCTGATAATGGCTTCCTGTTGCCGGTAGATCACTAACAGCACGACAATTGACGGGGTATTTTTCTGCTGGTGCAGGACGTTTAATACCCGCAAACTGTGTCGCGTCGACTGCATGAAGTTCTGAAGTACAGGCCAACGACTTGTGTTTGGGTTCCTTTGTTCCCATTGCATGTCAGAACAAGGTTGGTTTGAGCTCGTGAACATCGCAGTTGGACACCAGAGCAGTGAGTTCATATACCCTTTGCGGATAACTCTCTTTTTAACATCCAGAACGATTCCCAAAGGGCAATTATATGGCACGTTTGGGCTTGTTTTATCGGGCGCCAAACCTGTTCGAAAGAGGCAATTACAGATGAGGAGGCTTACGTGCACTCCGTGTATAAAATGACACTTGTGGTTTTTACTTTCAACGAATAGACGCGCCGACCTCTACGTTATTCCTGATGGTTCCGTCATGGCCATCCGATATCGCTACGAAACTCTACACCCTCTTATGCGCTCTTTTATCGCTGTACCGACGCGATATTTTTGGGCGATAATTTCCGCCCACATAAAGCTCGAGTGATGCGGAGTTATCTGGAAAGTGAAAGCATTTCTCATTCGCCGTGCCCTGCTTATCACTGGACCTGAATCTTATAGAGCATGGATGGGATATGTTGGGACGACGAAAATCTGGTCGAGGTGTCGTCAGCACCCTCGATGAACTCCGATATGCATTACTACAGAAACGAGCGCTAGTGAAATAACACGCGATCAGCAATATTATTGGCTTTTACCTCGCCGTTATCAAGCATGCATTTCAGCTGGAGGGTATCATAACGCGTTATTAGCGCGCTGTTTCCACTGTACATTCTTACTAACTATTTGGTCTTTCGCTAGTCTACATGATAGTCGTAATACATGTGGTTTGTATGTCTTTGATTTATTGTTTTCTATATGATCTACTAGTAATATGATCTTTTTGAAGGAGAAAGGCTATTTTTTGTTCTTAATCGAAATACTTTACAAAATATCTTGTACTCTATTAATGTAATCATATCATCCTGTACTTGCAATACGTTACTCAAATAGGTTCAATCTAAAGCAGTATCGGTCTCTATTTCAGTTAAGATTATTGAACAGAAAAGCAAGTTCTAGAACATACTATCTTATAAATTGATACTAACTAAAAAAATGCTCATAGTGTTTTTACTCCCCCAAAATTTATGGTTATGTCAGGAAAGTAATGCTTCCAGCCAATATATGTGATGGTGAGTTTTCAGTGAATAAGCACGATTTAGAAGCTCCGCATCACGTTTTTACTATTTATACAATACTGTCTGTGCATGTGGTGACGATTTTGTTTGTTCACGATAACTCTTACATGAAACTTCTAAAATTTTCTGTTTTCCATATTTAAGTTCTCTATGTAAAGATTTGATTAGATTTTAGGTAAAACGGAACAACCAGATTGATACTTTATAGAAAGCTAATAACAATCTAAATGAATAATCGGAAGTGGTACTTTTCTTGAAACGCATAATAGTTTTTAATGAAAAACTGTATTAAAATATAATCCGAAACTTCTCCGTTTTGGTATTTAAGGCTTCTATTTCAATGGAAACAGATTAGATCATATTATATGTTTGCTAAAACTGGTAAATCGGAAGCGAATTTTACTTAAAGCACTGAACAAACTTATTTAAAAGGTTTTATTATGAGATATTCCAAAATTTCTCAAATTTTGTATTTAAAATGGCTATATGACTATATTGCACTTATAAGCATCAAATATATTTTTGTAATTATGCTAAATTCAAAGAAAGTAAGATGATTATGAAGATGAGATCTCATTGTGAAACAATAAAATGTGTCAGCCTCAGTCCTAAACTTTGTGTTCGTCTAAATTTTCTGTTGAATCACTTTACAAATAAAAAGATACTGCCACCAAATGTTATCCCACTTTTATAAAGTAATACCACTCTTAATTTTAAAGAAATAATACAGTAAATATAAATAATGTAGCGAATACAAAGTGAAATGAAAGGCAACACTGAACAATCTATCAATAATTCTAAAGATACGCTGCTTTAAAAATTTTGTGACTGTTAAGTCACTGATTTGTGAATTCGACACTCTGTACGACCAGAGGATATGCTACGATTGATGTGGTATTTTCAAATCAAATTGGAAGAACGGATGTGTACATAAGCACGTAGATATATCATAATCAATTGTATGATAGAATAAAATAGTTAAAAATTTGCGCTGTCTATAATTAACATTGAGTCAAAAATTTTATAACAAGTTAGATTTATTTACAAATGATCAACCAGAAATTAAATCTCAGTTATCCTTTCACCTCGCTGCTGTTCCGCGAATTCCATAGCTTATTATAGAATTGGCGGGAGGTCATGTGCTGGCCACATCAGACATTTTTTCCTTGCTTTCCTTCTTTTAGCAGTGATTTTTCCTGATCCATCAAGAAGAGTTATATCCAGAACGCTTTGATTTTTAAACACTCTTTCTAATTTGTACTTGCTCGACGATATTACCTTATTTTTTACCTTTAACGGCAAAATAATTGCTTTCACAGTTCCAATTCGTTTACTTTTCAGATAATTAATTACTTCACTTTCCTTTCTACTTAAAACCGTAGTTTCACGCCAGCTTGTATTATTAATTATTTCTTTCGTAGAACAGATTCTCTGTTTTCCATTTGCGACATTTTAGAACTTAAACGATGCATGAAATCTATCTAATTTGTTTACAGGACCGTATGTGTTATTTTTCTCACTTTTTGTGATAGAGAAATATATCTTGCTTTAAATTAAAGCGCATATCTTTCATTAATTATTCATAAACCGTTTAAGTTACATTACGAAGAATTTCATGAGAAACACACCACACTAATAAATTCGTACGCAGGCTTGCAAATCAAAGAAAAATTTTAAAAAATTATTTTCAACCGATATACAATGAAGAATGGAGTCGTCTAAATTATGAATCTCCATATATCGAAAAAGATACCCGCACAATTCTAGATACATTTTTATGACTCTCGCTCCTAATTTTTCTTACAAAGTATTTTCTAATTATGAAAACCAATAAATATCTCTAAACTGATCTCATCTAGGTTACTAATTTGATCACATTGAAACGAGCTTTAAAACATTATCAACTCAGTTAAACTCATCCAGCTTGTTATCGATTATGTGTACAAATTCCTTTTATTATTAAATTAATTTCCTTAATAAATAGAAATTCGTTACCTAAATCTCATTAAAAGTTTTAATTGATCCTACTACTGAATATTCAATATTTCATGCATTTATGACTTTCTCTTCATTGAGATAAACTTCATAATTATATTTTTTATTATACGGTTTCTTATTGCTCATGAATGATTTCTTTCTTCAATGCCATTATTAAAATTAGTTTTCATTAAATTTATGATTTCTATGAAAGGGATAGTTATTAAATACAACACTGAACTTCAAAACTGTATTAAAAGTAGAACTAAAATATTTACTCTTTTCTTTCACAGACTGTAACCGCACCTACTACGGTTTATCAGATGTTAAATACCCTCTTCGTTTGAGTGAACGTAGATCGCCAACCTGTACGCTCACATTCGTCGCTGCAGGAGGCAGGTATGGAGAGCGCATCGAAATCACTTTCTTATCGTTCCAGATTGGGATCTTCGAGCTGGATAGGTGAGTAAAAGTCTTTAATAACAAAAACATTTTTAGTCGTTTGATTATTCTTCCAAAGGCTTATTAAAAGCTGGATGTACTTCTGCATCAAACAAGTTGTAACCTGATTCTTATCATTTAGCAACTTAACGAAAAGTATAAATGTGCCTTATCAAATGCAGCGTAGAGAAAAAATATTTTTCTACTTTTATTTTATTTATTATTTTCACATTTTCAACCTATGAAGCAAAGTTTATAGAATAAAACTACCACAGCATTGCACTGAAATATTGTACAAATCCTGATTCCTGATGCTTTCTTAGTAACCTGGAAGCTTTCTTAGTTTCCTGGAGGTGTAAAACCCTGTCAAAATAAGTATATCGGATTCGGTGTATGTTGCATTGGTATATAAAGGTTTCAGACATTAGTTTATCCAGAAGTGAGGATTTAACTTATTTCTACTTCCAAGAGTAAGCTGCCGATTTCAAATTAATAGCAAAAGCTTCAAATCATAAATCTAAAGCTTTCAAATTAAGGTTTTCAATGTCTGAATATTTGAAAATCAATTTTCTCTCTGGCGATTTGCAATACGCAAATCTGCAGTAAAGTCTATTTGTGATAATGAAATTTTAATATCTTTTTAAAAGCAATAATAATGATGATAATAATAAAGAGAACGAAATGAAACTAAGGGTTTCAATGACCAGGCTGTAATCAGTATGGCTGGAAGACTGAATTGAAAGGAGAGTTCCGCTTAGTTAAATGGAAATTTAAGCTAAAGCATTTATCCTTTCCAATAACTTAAAAACTTCTAATGAGACAGAAAATGAAAGGGAGTGAAGTAATAAAAATTTACGGTAAGGCAGGAATAGCTTTTCTGTTTTAAGCAAACCTGGCTTTCACAATGTTTGCATTGTTGGTGAATCAGTTGCAGTAATATGTTTGCTTGAAGATACGAGATATTACTTGAAATTATACAAAAAGTGGCTACAAAACTAAACAAACACCCAATGTTAATGAAACGAGTTGGTTTAAGAAAACGATTCTCTCATGCACCTTTGTAGTAGCTAGTAAAAACTTGTATCTTGCAGATAAATTTTGGAAAGATTGTCTCCCACTTTTATAAAGTGAAAATATCGTAGAGGGTTTGGAACAAAACCGATATTTGTGTTTCGTGCAGAAATTTTTAAAACTTTTATAATGCTATCAAAAAATAATGCCAGAATGTTGTCCAGTTCGACTAAGAAAGCATTAGTAAAAAAAAAAAAAAAAAAAAAACTTATGAAAAGTTTGGTTTATTAGCTACGTTTGTCCGTCAACAGAATTTTATTTCAAAGAAAATGAATTAGACTTTAAGGTTGTATTTATCTTAGATAATACCCCTGATGAGCTCATGGCTTCTTTCATTTAAATGGAAACATACAAATAATATTCATCTACAAAATGCGTCATTGATCTTGCAAATATCATTGATCCAACAAATGGATCACGGTGTCACTGCGAAATTTAAGTCCTAGTTTCGCTTCACGCTTTCACAAGGCATAAAACTTCAACGCAAAAAATGCAATTAATTTAGCAGGACATCGGGGAAGCTATAACATCCGAAATGTTATCGAAAATACGCAAGCAAACAAATGTTTTTGCTCATGATGACTTCGAAAAACAGTTATACTGGAATTGAAGCTAGCAAATAGCAACAGAGAGCTCTTGGCACCTGGATGAGAATCCCAAACACCGATCTTCATTAATCGTCAGGCTCTTAGCGCCTTTGCTCAGGTCTCCGGAAATTATTTACACAAATCGCAGGTGTCGTTAAGAGCTCCCATGCAACCTGAATTTGGGATTGCTCTGTCTCCAGTATACTAGCAATTATTCCGCCATCTGTATGTTGGTGGCTGATTTCTCATTCTACTGCCCTGCTTATAAAAATGTAACAAAATTTTGCTACTTATATGGCTATCGTCAATGTGTGTAAATAAAATAAGAACAAAGCAGCAAAGTACTGCGTTTTATACCTAACATTTACCACAACACCAACTACACGCATAAATATGGTTCGATGCTCGAGAGCAATACTATTAGATTAATATTTGACATACTTTCCTGTTTTAGTTCCGCAACTTTCAGAAAGAGGAAAAAAAGGACGTGTTTATATTTTTAATTCTAAAGAAGAACGTATGTATTTCGTCCTTTACTTTGAAAGCTATAGAGTTCATAAACCACTCGTAAAGCAGCAATACAGTCAATCAATTAAACTTTAAAATTTTTTCTTAGTTAAAGTCCTTCCCTTTTTTATATTTACAAATTTTGAGATTCATGAAAATGACCCTATTCATCTAGTATTAAAAGATAATAAAGGATATTACATAAAAATAAATAAAAACAAAATTACGATGATACAAAATTCAATAAAAATACAGTAAATATCAAATAATTATAAACAAATATACACAGATATTTACACGAACTTACAGAGTAAATTGTTCATCACGATTTATTTCTGATGAAGCACTGTATCCGAAATTAAACGTTCAGAATTGCAGAATTTTCATTCCTATGTCGATGACCATTTCTCGTAGTTTCAATTATTATATTTTCGCGTCACACATGATTGAGCGTTGGAGTTCATTGAAATAATGGATTGTACTTTATGATAGCTGTTTTATTATTACAATTATCTTGAAATACTAGTTGTATATTAAATGCCGTGCACAAGTAAATTATTTCGTATATGAAATGAGCTCACAGATTATCATTGTCATTGGTTGTCATTGTTTACTTTGACAAGTGAATTCAATGTTTGCTGATTCGGTAGAACAAAAGATATTAGAGTGAGGATTTAAGTATTTATAATTAAATTTAAATAAATTAAACTGGCTATTAAATTTTATAATAACTTCAGGTTAGTTCTTTATTCAAACCGTATTTCTGTTAATATTAAAGCATATGCTTACTATTGCTTTTAGAAAGACAAGTGCAATACGCCATTTTCCCTCCCAAATGCCTTGAGGGAAAAGAGTTTATGTATTGGGTGGGTTAAAAGGGTGCAAGTCCTATTCTGAGAAAGACGTCTCCAAAATTTTCGATCAGATTATTCGAATGAAATGAAATATGGAATACCAGATTCAATTTCGGATTCAAATTTTTTGCTTTCTTTTCTTAAGCTTCAGAGTGAAGATCATTCTAGATTAAATCTTTCATTCTCCCTCTCTTCACATTTAGAATTTTTTTAACAACGAGCAGATCATGAGTATAGGGTATCGTTTCACTTTCCAAATGTCTGAATATAAATGCTATGTATTTAAATAAAATTAAAAGCACATTTTAAATCTATGAACGATTGTAATTTAAATATCTTCTTATATGTGATTAAAGTTGCAATTAGTTTGTTTTATTGTATTTTTTATAGTTTAAATATCTTTTTATTTTACACTACGATTAATTCATTTTTAAAAAAAAAATTACTTTAATCTTGTCATAAACATTTATTTTATAGAACTTTTGTTGAAAAGCCTTTTCAATTACTTTTATGGAAGTTAATTATTTTAATCAGATTTATTAAAAAATATATATTAGTTTTGAGTATAAATAATTTTATAAAGTCTCTTGTCCCTTGGAACCATAAAATGCAAATGTTTGAAGTCTTAAAAGTAAATTATCATTTTCTCTTGCACAGTATCACAGAGACAGGGAAAGGGGTGTAGAGGACACTTTTATTTAACTCAAAAAAAGTTGACAGAAGGCACTACTCTTGTTACAGAATACAGTCAGCAATTATGGCTGAAATCAAGGTAAAGAATTTGAATTACTAAATAATAGTAAGTTAGCCTAGCGGCTGCACAATTAAAGTAACATCGCAAGTTGGCTCTGATCTAGATCGGTGTGACAAGATTAATGGCAAGAATAACGCAAAGCTGTAGAATACTATTCTCCTGAGAACAGAAATTCGCAATATGACTTTCAACAGGCAGAATATTGTAAATCTACCCTCTAAAACCTTCCTCTAAATACTACCTCCTTTCTACCTCATTTGAATATCACACGGGCTAGATATTTACATTCTGGCAGAAAAATAAGAAATTAGGAGGACAGGAAAGCAAATTAACAGAAAATAACTGGTTAATAAACTACGCAAAGCTCACAGTTTATAAAAAATCACAGTAGTTTGAAACAAAGGGCATTATATATTTATCTCTAGTTGAAGGAAATTGCTTAACTTTTAAATTACTGTGCTGAGAAATTTTTACATGAGATTATGAGATATGATATGCAAATAAGTACTTTTAATATCATTGCGAGCTACGGGATGTCGATGTTTCTTCAAATAATAAGTCCAGATAAGTAGTAAGAAAGGAACGATTTATTAGGAAATTAGGCACAATTAACAGCACACAAAGCGCAATGTCGTGAAGGAGTACAAGCACACAAATTGCTGAAAACCCTTAGAACGCTTGCTTGCATCTCCTCCACAATGACAGCTCCGCAGGCACGCAAGTGTACTCTTACATATTCTAAATATTTTAATTATTATTCGGTGCATAATTAATTAATTTAGTTCAACACGTTTTTGTAAAAAAAAGACATCATTTGCTATCTTATGGCATAAGAAAACTATCTTATGAATATTATATTTATGAAAGAAAGCCTGTATTCTTGAGGTTATGCGTTGATTTCGATCTCGTGAGAAAATTTCTTACATTTTTATTTACATGTTTAAGCTTAAAAATACGCGCTTTATTTTTTTAAAGTCCCATATTTTAAAGAAAGAACATTACTTCAAATACGTTTACCTCTTAATTTTTCACACGATTATATATACTCGAACCATCGAAGACAGAATAAATGACTGAAGAAGATTATGAAAAATTTCAAACAATTAATGTTTGAAAGGGCGGAAAAGCAAATGCAACAGAAACAAATAAATAAATGAAAAAATAAATAAAATAAATAAAGAGATAAAATGAAAAGTATGTAAATAAGTTACATAAAATGAATGATAGTGCACGTGTAGAAATGCAGTT